AAACTATTATTGGGCTTTTAATTTCTTGAGAGAGGCCTTGGGTCAAGTAAGACCATGCGCACTAGTAAAAGTGGGGTGTGTTAGTGTTGTTTTATTAATAAAATAATGAGAGTTGAAGTAATAAAATAATGTAAAATTTTTTGTCTCATAATTAAATTCTATATCCGGTTGTAAACATACACGCGGATTTCGTTACTGACACAACTTTTGCAATAAAATCGTTTATTTTAATACTAAAACCCATGGTGCGATTGCACCGTTGTGTTTGCTCTAAGGCTATACACCGATTACTAACTCGAATATTATTTAATTTCTTGGGATAAAACGAAATAATAAACAGTATTTTGTTGAAAAACATATATAAATTATGGATATAAAGTAATTCAAGACTTCAAGTTAATCTTGAGCGATCTAACTACAGTATTTCTACAGTTTTATATATATATGTGAAAACTACAGTTTTGTAACTTTTATTCATTTATTTATTTATTTTTCATCACTTCAATTTAAAGTTTTTTAAAAATCAATTTACTCTCTAATTTTCAAATTTTTATATACTTGACACAAAAATTTTGTTTACTTTAACTATTTTGTATCCATTACCACATAATTTGGTTAAGGGTAGAATTTGGCATTTTGCGAATATATGTCAATTTAAAACGTGTAGTCATTTTCACGTAAGAAACTTGAAAAAGTTGGCAAAAGGGTACGACAATGACTCGGACGTGTTAAGCACGGGACATATTTTTGTATCTGTGGACCACAGACTGTGGTCTATATTATTACATTCCCTTTCCCATTCTATATTTAAGAAGATATTTTCAAAATTCACGTCAAATAGAAAATAGCTCTTAGTTAAGTTTTTACTTAAAATGGTGAAAATTAAATTAAAAATTTATCGAAAGATGCTTCTCAAATTTGTGATCGGAACCAACTCTTAGGTCAGACGTATTAGATGTTACGTCTCACATTAAGACAAAATGACAATTTGGAAAAATTTATAAGTGGTTAATTAACCCTATTAGTTATTTAAGTGGGTCGTGCCAAACTTCACTTACAGCGATGTCAACAAGTGAAATGTAGTAGTATATATTTGATATATTAGTGGCAAGTGGCAACTGGCAATACACTGAGATATAATTTATCTCAAAGTATAATAAGAATTAGGAAGAGAGGGCATGAACAGTGCTGCTTATTCCACTGGTCAAATATTTTAATTTTATGAAATATCTTAGTCTAATTGCTCACAATAATTGTTTTAATTTTAAAGTCAAAGCCTATATTGATATGTTTAGTACTCGTATAATTCTATAGTAGATTTCCGTACATTTCTAAACTATTTTAGTATTTTTACTAGGGAGAATTGTCCAGAATGCCACTTTTGGGCCAAAACTTACACCCATGCCATTTTCCGTTTGGGCTTTTGCATTTGCCATTTTTAGTATTGCGAAAAGTCTGTTTTGCCCTTAGGTCAACGAGCGCCATCTTTGTGATTTCAAATTTTTTTTCTTTCTGCAGCAACGATGGCTCTGTTCACGGAGGTGACCGATGGCACTGTAGACATGTCATTTGTGTGGCTGAGATTTCGTAGGGTTTTGCTTTTCTATGGATGTAGTGAAGAGGACTTAAGTACCAGGATATTATATAGTAGTTGCCCTCTTGTGGACATTGTTAACAAAATTTGGTGCCGTCGTTCTCCCGAGATCTATCGAAGGCCACAGTAAGAATAAAGACTACATCAGAGTTATGGATCCGCAGGTAATAGTTCTTGATTCATAGTTTAATTTCCACTTACTTGTTAGTAGTCAGGTCCTGGTGTAAGTGTTTGAATGATATTTTAAGACTGATTCCCAATTTCTTTCTATTCACAATTGTAGTAGTCTTTCCTCCAGTTGTACCTGTAAAGGTAAATGTAAAGAAGTTACTGATAATTGTATTTAACAATACAGGGATCACATGTGCCTGTCTTTGTAATCGCTGGCAGTTGGGAATGCTCTGATAAGGGTATATGGGATTTCTATATTGCAAAAGAATGTTATGCACGCAGTATATCTATGAATGTTGGTATGAGCTACGAGGATCTAATCTTAGCTGTCCGTAAAGAGTTTGAACTGGAGGGACTGAGCTTCAAACCAAAATTAAGCTACTGGCTTCCCTGTCAACTTTCTGTGTTTGCAGTGAATTCAAGACCCCCTGTCATCATTACTAGCACCACGAGCGTCAGAAACTTCTTGGCTGTAAAGGAAACTGCAGTTCATCTAAATCTCTTATTGTCTCTTGAACCTGAAACTGGTGATGATATTGGCGTGAGGCTGAGAAAATCTTTGGTTCCTGCTGAGAAGGGTAAAGATTTTGGTGGGGATGAAACTGCAGAGGCTTATGCAGCGGTACTGCCAATTGAGGAAGCCTTGCCTGACAGCAGATACAATCTTACTAGCAAGCACAGTGGTGTTAGGAGGCGGCTATTTGTTGACACGGATGCATCTTGTTCAAAAACGCCAATAAAGTTCATCTCTGTTCCATCAAGTAGTGAGGAGTCTAGGAAAAATGATTGTGGCATCATTAGACTTGGTGATGCAGATACACCATCACTGTCTGCTCACTCTGAAGATAACAATGCAACAGGTATAGTGGGACTGCGAGACGTAAGTGCTGAAGAGGATGAAGAGTTGATAAGAGCAGTTGAAGATGTTGAGAAGCGTCAAAATGAGCTACGGATGCGTAAGGGTAAAGGTAAATGCAATGATACTGAGGTTGATACAGGCAGTAATCATACTGAAGATTCTGACACAGATGGGCTTGTTTCGTCAGGGACAGAAGATGATGATCTTTGTGATGAGGATTACTGGAATTTGGCATTCGACAGCCAATATCCTTTTGACTTCAATGCATCTTTATTCCAGTTAGGACAGCCAACAACAGATGTCATATCGCCAATTGTTGAAGATGGAAGATGTGATACTGGGGAGGAGGACATAGGTGCAGCTGTTCTGTCATACGTGACAAGGGAAAGAGAGGAACCTCAGTTTGCAAATGAGGACAACCTTAGAGCAGAGGTCAAAATTGGACGAGAGGGCAATCTTGGAGGAGAGGACAATGTTGGAGGAGAGGGCAATCATGGAGGTGAGGACAATGTAGCAGGGAATGCATCCCCCGGTTTTTATGATGATTACCTAGTAGCCAATGATTCCTCAGGATTTTCTGATCGCAACCAAGGTGGGCCTAGTGGACTGACATTTGCTGTGGGGAACCACAGTGAGCCTGGCTCCTCTGCTTTTGGTGTAAACGACCAACCCGGGCCTTCTTCCTCTGTAGTTGCTGTGGAAAAGCAAGCGACGGTTTCATCAGCATTGCCTTTGGCTACCCAACTCGGTGATTTAGAGGATGTGTTTGTTGATTACACACAGAGAGGCGATGCTGAACCAGTTTTTGATGACATCTACCAAGTAACTAACACAGATGGATGTGCCATTATATCTGCTGAAGAAGATGCAATATATATTGGTAGAGTGTTTAAAAGTAAAGAGGATTTACAAAACACTTTAGCCATATATGCCATCAAGAGGTTGTTTCATTTTAGGCAAACAAAGTCAGACAGAAAGCGGGTCATATGTGTCTGTATTGATCGACATTGTAGATGGAGAGTATTTGCACATAGGGTATCACAGTATTCAGAAAATTATGAGATCAGAAGAGCAACTCTAACCCACACATGCTCCATCACTTCTAGGTCACAGTATGAGAAGCAAGCTTCAGCAAAAGTGATCGCTGCGGTTTTAAAAGATAATTATGCCAACGGATTGCCTGGGCCACGCGCAGTTGATATTCCGGATATAGTGCTAGCAGAGCTCAAAGTTTCAGTAACATACATGAAGGCATGGTATGCTAAGGAAGCTGCTCTACTTAAAAGTCGTGGGAGTGATGAAAAGAGCTACAAGCTCCTAGCAGTTTACATGTACCTTTTGGAAAAAGGAAATCCGGGAACAGTATATAAGCTGGAATATACTGCTGGAGGAGCTGTTGCAAAACAATTCAAATACTTATTCTTTGCTCTTGGAGCAAGCATTGCAGGCATTAAGTTCATGCGAAAGGTAGTACTTGTAGATGCAACTGCTATAAAGAACAAGTTTATGGGGGTCCTTATGACTGCAAGCATGCAAGATGCTAATTTTCAAGTTTTTCCAATAGCGTTTGGAATTGTTGATGCAGAGAATGATTTGGCGTGGACCTGGTTTTTTACTCAACTCAGCTCGCTTGTCCCTGATGCAGAGGATATAGTCCTTGTTTCTGATCGGCACAGGTCCATATATTCTGCGGTTCGAAAAGTATATCCACTTGCCTTTCATGGAGCATGCGCAGTCCACATTGAAAGGAATGTTAACGCTAAGTTTCCTGGGACAGGCCTCTCAAGCCTTGTTTGTAAAGCAGCTCGTGCATTTAACTATGGTGACTACAAAGAATGGTATGCTGAGATTGAAAGGAGAGACAAAAGGTGTGCAGTGTTTTTGGATGCAATACCTCTTGAACACTGGACACAAGCATTTTGTAAAGCAAAGCGCTACAATATGATGAGCAGCAACATTGCTGAGGCTCTAAATGGTGCATTAGCAAAAATCGTTGAACTTCCCATTGTTTCAATGGTAGAGTCTATCAGAACAAAGTTGATGGAGTGGTTTTGTTTCAGAAGGGAGAGAGCAAGAAAACTATTGGCTTCGGGAGAGCCTATAACACCTAATGTGAACACATTACTCCTCCGGCACCACACTGATTCAGCAGGTTTGGCCGTTAAACCAGTTTCAGCATGGAGTTTCCAAGTGTCTTTGAAGGAAAAGAAGTTCTATGTCGATTTAGCAGAAAAAACATGCAGCTGTTTGCAGTTTCAGAAGCTGGAAATCCCTTGTTGTCATGCTCTAGCAGCAGCAAGAAGAAACGGCGTTCCAGTGCCAGCTCTTGTAGGTGAACACTACACGGTTAAAGTCTTTGGTGCAAGCTACGAGAAATTTATCTTCCCTGTGCCTAATGAATGCGACGTACAAATTCCGGTAAATGTGCAAGAAACAGAATTCATTCCACCAAAAAATAAGAACGGTCCTGGCCGTAGGAGGAAAAGAAGGATCCCTTCCACTGGAGAGTACCAGGTAAGATGCAGCCTATTACTGTAATTGATAGAAAAAAATGTCACCACTTGTTTAGAAATTAACTGTTTGTAAATGTTTCTGAAGGGTTCTAAGAGGCGCAAGACTGGACCTCATAAGTGTTCTACATGCCATCAAAAAGGCCATAACAGAGCTACTTGCAAAAACATGCCTGGATAAGGTACATGACTGAAATTTCAATATGTTGACTTTGTTGTGTAGATTGTAATCAAAAGCATATGTAGTTAATGTTCATAGCAAAACATGTGCAGGTGAGTCAATGGGGAGGAGTACTTTTTGGTCCAACGAAGCGATAATGTAAGTTGTGAAGGTTATTTTTGGATTGGTCAGACAACGACCATGGACACATGTGGTTAGCAGCAATGGTGATACCTTTTGGTGTATTTTGAGTACTCTACGGCTGATGCAAAGCCGCTGTACAGCTATCTGGCGACCCGCTAAGTGCACTTGGCTAAAAGCCAACTTTCAAACAGATTGTGCCTTCAATGTACGTAGCACTTCTGGTAATATGCAGGAATGTAATATTAAGATGTAATATTAAGCTGCTGCTTAAACAAGTCTACTGATATGTGTCCTTTAACTAGTAATGAAAACTGCTTCTGTTGGTGTAGATGGAAACTCGGTGCATTGATATTATAGGCGAGTAAAAGGTGCATAACATTATACATTTCAGCATAACTCTCGGAATCGAGTCGCATACATAAAAACAAAACATCTGCGGCAAAGACTAGTGACCCTAAAATTATTTATAAAACAGTTAGGGAGACCACCACCAAAACGTAAGGAATTGTCATAACGGCCAGCCCTTGGAAATCTCATGGATGTAACTTGGTGCAGAACCATTTCACCAACCTCAACTGCTTCCTCAATATTAGGAACAAGATTAAAAAATGTTTGCATCACCTCCATACCTTGGTCAAAAGATCCACAACAAACAAGAACAATTCCCAGCGCAAACCTAGCATATAGGATGTGTGGAGCAGCGGCTCCTAACAGGTCAATTGAACGTTGGCAAGGTCCTTCTTGAGCAGCAAGCCGTAAGCCTTCAACGTAGTGAGCAGATGGGTTGGCAGCATCCAAACACCGTAAAAAGAAGGGCCGGTAGAGAGAACCAATATTTGCAAGATGAGGTGCAAATACAAACTCATCAATATCAACGTCCTCAAGAACACTGACATCAAAGGCAAGGGCCATGCCTTCCGATCCAGCAGCTACAAAAGGGCCAAGCTCTCTGAAACCATGCTGTGAGAGGCGGCGAACAATTTCTAGAAGCAGAGCATGTGGAATGGAGTTCATTTCATGCAATTTGGTGTTTGTTTAGCGTAGATTGCAAATAAAGAACAAGTGTGTTTATATAGAGTAAATAAAGGGGAGAAATAGGAGTAATGTGGTGCAGAAATGCAGGTGGGGGTTAAGCGTCAAATATTTCATATTGAATGATGTAGGTGGCACAGGAGGAGCAAGTGGGAATAAATATAAGTGGACAAGTCCTTACGTGTGGAAGGAAAAGAGACAGTGTAAATTACATTAAAATAGAAAATAAGATAGGTGCAAATACATATTACAAGCGTGGTTGCAGAAAAGGTAGAGGAGTGATAGTAATGGGAAAAAAATAGTTGTTAACATAGAAGAAGGAACATAACAGTAAACCAATAAAAAAAACAATGACTGCAGCGTCTGTCTATGCGGCACCGAGTACGAAAACAGGTAGGTATGTCAACATAGTTCCAAGTGTTACCATGGGAACGAATCTTAACCGGACCTAGTTGAATAATGTGGCGAAAGACCTTGCTCCCAACTGCATCAGCTGCTCTCCACGAACCAATGTGAGAGACAAAGGTGTCAATTGTGTGAAGTGCATTTTGGTAAAACCCAAGGCAAATCTCAAGCAACGCTCGAGCAAACCAAGCATGAGGTGGACTGTTACCAATGGTGTATAACAAGTACAGAGCGTCTTCTGAGCGCCCACATTTGGCAACAAGCCTGATACTCTCAAGGTAAATAGCAGTTGGATTACGAGACTCAAAGCAACGGCGGAAAAAAGGACGATAAATAGAGTCTTCGTTAATAAGCGCAGCATCATCAAGAAAGGGTTGAAGGCTAACATTGTTGAGAACAATGGGATGAGATGCTAGAGTGTGGCACAGTTTGGAAGCAAGCAGCAAACCCCCAAGAGACTTAAACGAGTCCTCCCCAACACGGGAGACAATATCTAAAGCAATGTTAATGTCCAATTTTTCCATTGAAGGGGTAACAACAAACTGTGAACAATTTTGGACTTTTAAAGAAAAAAACATGGAGTAAGTGGTATGAGGTATTTAATGTCAAATAAGGTAGTGGGTGGGGAGCGGGGAAGTGAACTATGACATTAATGGTTTGTAAACGTGAATTGTATTCTCAATAGACATAATAAACAAAGTATACGAAACCTATATAGTAGCTGAAAGGAAGACAAAAAGCGAGGAAGTGAACTAAGAGAAAATAGAAGTTATAAGTGCATGCGAGAAGAGTTGCAAATACATGAAGAATGTACCTAAGGATTCACATTAATACATAAGTAAAGAAGAGCAACTGTAAAGCAGTGTAGTAATGCGTAGAAGCGAGAAACTAGTAAGAGAAACAGTAATAGATTCAAGCGCGGGAGACAAATTCTGCGTAGAGATCCATGGCATAGTGCATTCTGATATTGTCAACTTGCTGGTTTGTCATGGCCCGAAGAGGTTCAATTAGCTGATGAGAGTGGAGTTCAATAAATTTAAGGCACATTGGGCCACAGTCGCCACCCCTGTGATTTTGCGTGATATTTGGAAGGCGGTTGAACGTGAAGCCAGTTGACGGCCATGTAGATGGCACATCTACACATACAGAGCGAAGCAACGAAGGCAACATTTGAGCTACAGGAGACATGTAGGATACAACCTTCCTAGCAGAAGTGCAGTCTTCAAACGGGTCAAGGATGTCAATATGACCACGGGGAAGATCTACAGCTAAGGCAACCCAATGTCGCTTACCCCAGTTCATTGGGAGATAGACAATGTCCACATCTGTGAGCCACGCCAACTGGGAAGGACGCCCATCAACTAAACCACGGGCATAGGCAATCAAAAGAGGGTTCCAAGAATAGGCAGTTGTATTGAGGTTCTGGCTGAAACTCATAAACCTACTGCTCATAATCGAAGTGAACATGGAGTCGAGAACTGTAATTCTGCGCGACGCCAGATAAGAACCATGTTTTTTCCAAAGGAATGTCACCATGCAGTCAATGTGCTGGAAAGAAGAAATTTAAAAATGCAGGAAATGTGAGTAACAAGTATGAGGGAAATCCACATAGGGAAAAAAAACAACATAATGAGCTGTAGTAAAGAGAAGACTTACCAAGCTGGATAGCCAGTTTTTGGGTTTATATATGGCAGAGAAAAAAGAAGCAGGGTATGGCTGGCCATTTATAGCGTATTCACTGCAAAGAAGAAGGCATTAAGAATATAATGAAGGAAACTATGGAATGGATAGTAAACTGAGCCATAATCGTGTAAGTGTATGATGCACCTGCCCGAAAATTGGGATAGCTGATGGACGAATTTTGTAATAGATGCGGAGCCAACACTGTCAAGCGTACTGATAATGTATGTAGAACTATCAACAACATTCTTTGGCTGACTACCGTGTTTTTTGCTGCGCAAGTTCATAGCAGGGCCAGAGAGCAATTGCTGTTTGGAAGGCTTTGCAAGGCTAAAGGAAGCAGGATTTTTCTTGCGTTGGCTAGTTTTCTCCAAAGAAGAAAGTGGATGATGTTTGTCAGAAAAGACACATGTGGTATGATCGGCAGAACCATCATTGGGACATGGTTGAGACAGATGTTTGACTAACGCAGGATGGTGGGTTGGCAGAACATCTGTGCTATTTCTAGGGAGTGGCAAATTTGACACAGGTACAATTGGTGGAACAAAGCTAGATCCCTTTTCAGAATCAGGCATCGCAGCGGCAAGAACAGTGGGGGGAACCTGTCAAAAGAATAGAGTGGCGGAAGCATAGTAAGTCAGATGTGCAGAGCTTAAGAGAGAGTTAGCAGCATGAAATAACAATTTACCAAAGAGCTTAGCAAAGGAAGAGGAGAAGAAGGAGGGACATGAGGTTGAGTGAGCTGCGGACAATGGTCAGAAGAAGCAGGTTCTGAAATCTTGGAAGCAAAGCGGGAGGTGTCAACTGTGTACTTAGCAGCTTCATCAAGCAACGATGTACAGCGTGTCTCTTTCTGCAAAAAAGGAAGGACGTAAATAACAAATAAAGTAGGACATAGGGCAGTTTATTGAAGTTAGAGGAAATCTTAAACATAAAACAACCTGAGGAAACAACTTATTATCTGGCCGTAGCAGAGAAATAGGAGTACTAGATTGAGAGCAATTAACTGTAGGAGCATTGTTCACAGTAATTGTAGGAGAAGAAGCCTTGCAAAAAAAGGGAAATTAGCTACAATAGTATCCAAAAGCATATTATATAGTAGCATCAACAAGAGCCTTACCGTTGGGGGAGGAGCATTAGCGGTGGTATCGCGAAAGCCAGTACAAGCTTCAGACGAAGCAGTTGATAATGAGCAACTTTGGGAGAGAACATCATGGCGAGACCCACGACCAGAGCAAGACGAAGCTAATTGTTTAGCAGAACGGTTGTCTACTTGTTTCGAAGAAGTTGAACGATTTGACAATGATTGAGCAGGAATCCCAGCACAACCAGAACGTGTTACACGTGCAAGTGAAGGAGAAACAGCAAGAGTAGGAGTACTTTTAATAGTCGAAGGTGCAACTACAGCAGGTTGATAACCGTTGTCAATAAGATCACGAACCTCAACTAGCAAAGATTCCTTAAAGCTTTTAAATTTTTTCTCAACAAGTGTGGCAGCCGCTTTGTGTTTGGAAACAGGAGGAGACCGTCCATCCCGCTTAACCTTTTTCTGCCCATTGACTTCACCCGAACTTGAACTTTCAGAGGCGCAAGCATTACATTTACGCTTTCGAGAAGACCTTAGTGATGGCAGAGATGCATCACCACCAGGCCAGATGGATGTATGAAACTCAAAGGCTGATGCAATAAGGGTCTCCAGATGGGTAACCTTAGGGTCACAATGGGCTGAACCTACAAATCCAGGCGCAGGTGTTTGTGGCAGCAAAACAAACAGCTGCAGAAATTGACGATTAATGAGGACGCTGAAAAAAAAATACAGGAAAACGAAGCAAGTACAAGCAAAGGAAGAAGCACATACAGAACGAGAATACTCTAGACGCATAATGTTTGACGTATGGTATGACTTGCACTTAGGAAGTCGAGGAATGATTTGGTCGAGGAAAGTAAACTGCTCTCCTCCATTGGGCAGGTACTTAAGCAGTGATGGGATAGACTTGAAAGCAAACAACTGGATAGAAAGCGGAAAGCCATGGACAGCAAGAGATGATTGTCTAAGCTTTCCTACAAGGGTGGCTGTATTGTCAATATAATTACCAACTTTCACCATCCGCAGCATCCGGTGAAAAGAGTGTCTTCCCCAAGGATATTTGAGAAAGAAGTCAACATCTTTCACCATTTCAACCACCTCCATTGATGCTTTAACTGGTTGGGACCGACAAAGCAAAATACCTTCTACAATAACAATGAGACAAATCCTGAATTTACGCCAAGGGGCCATAGTAGGCTCGCGCTTAAGACGGGCAAGAAGTTCCTTAACAGTAACAGAACCAGGTTTACCACCAATTAACTTATACCAATAAGGTGAATCACCTTCAGCATGAGATGTTGCAGCTTCAAGTTCTGACTGCGGAGGTAAATCACAACAAGATAAGCCAGTGACATCATGAAATTCTTTTAGGGAAAACCTCAAGGGCTGACCACCAAAAACAAACCACATTTCCGCAGAATTAGTTGTATGCAGCTGTCTACAGAGCATCTGGTGCACCAACTGGCCAGACAATGAACAGTGACGAACAGGAAGGGAGAAAAGGGCCCCAAGAGGAGATGCCAACAAAGATTCCAACTCAGGCATACCTTCAAGAACTTTCAATATATCAATTAAGTACTTAGGTTTTGAATACGAGTTGATACGAACTGCATGACCAGGATAGCAATCAACAGAAAAAATTCTGTCCGGAAGGACGCCTGCAAATAAGAACAGCAAAACCAACATTGGTGTCAGCTGGAAAATATGGTACATACTTAAAAATAAGAACTGGGGTGCCAGTAAACCCAAGCAGGAGTGTATAGGATACTAAACCCTAGGAGCCACTGGGCTGCCAGTAAACCCAAGCAAAAGTGTATAGGATACTAAACCCTAGGAGCCACTGGGGTGCCAGTAAACCCAAGCAGGAGTGTATAGGATACTAAACCCTAGGAGCCACTGGGGTGCCAGTAAACCCAAGCAGGAGTGTATAGGATACTAAACCCTAGGAACCACTGGGATGCCAGTAAACCCAAGCAGGAGTGTATAGGATACTAAACCCTAGGAGCCACTGGGGTGCCAGTAAACCCAAGCAGGAGGTATAACAGAGTAAAGGGTAAAATACAGCTTCACCGAAGAACAAATGTAAACGAGACTACACGGATACACCCTAAAAGGCACAAAACTAGCTACCAAAATCAGAGTTCTGTAAGAAAAGGAATGAAGAGCAGAGCAGAAGTATGCGAACCTGGTCCAACGGAGGGAACTGCTCCACTTCCAAGTGAACCCATTGAAGTAGCAGAGAACTACACAGGAACAGGCGAGATAGAGATAAGCTAGTAAAGGATGAAAGCAATTGAAGCCTCAGAGAAAAGAAAAGGCTCGGTTTACTGACCAATGAAAGAGTATGGTCGTTGGCAGAACCAGAAGCAGGCGTACAATTTCAATATGCAGTAAATATCTCAACCTATACATGACGGAAGAAGAGCGTATAGAGGGATTAAGACATGCAACGGATGAAATCAAACCCAGAAATTTCGAATCGGGTAGACAAAATTACAGTAAATCTTACCAATTGCAGCTTTGTCGATCGATCCAGAGGCAAGCAATTGTAGATCTAGGCAATACAAACTCGAGAATGAAAGATAGAAACGAAGAGCAGTGGTGCGAGACTGTCTGTTTTCCCCGCCGACAGACTTTGTACAGTGAAGCAGCTGATGATTTAAGTCGGATTTTTTAAAAATGAATTATAAAAACACGTTACGTATTTCTCTGTCTGTTCGGGCAGAGGAGTAGTCATATCGGGCAGTGGAGTAATACAACAAAAACAAAAACAGTTTGTCGCGTAATCAAGGCTAAATCCGTAAAACTACATGGTCGGAAAATGGCAAATTCGAAAACTGTTCAGAAAAGGATAAAACCTACAAATGCCACGCTAGAAAAGGATAAAATCTGTAATTGATTCTTATATATATTTTGAAT